CTTTCCTCTAAGTCCTTGAAATCACACGGTTTAGCTGCTCTTCTCAAAGCTGCAATGTATTCTTTTGCTGATTCCCCAGCTCGCTGATCCCTCTGTTCAAATGTGTGCCTCCAAGCAATGACAGATTGCTTGGGCTGGAAGTGTTCCTTTAAAACTTTCTTCAGATCGGAGTATGACACCGTTTCCAGCGAGGCCGGGGTGATTAGGTTCTCGGCGATCTCAAAGGCGTCTTGCCCACAAACGCACAACATTGTGGCAGCCTTTAAGCCTTCCTCCCTTATCTGGTTTACGCGGAAGTAAGTCTCGACTCTTGCAACGTAAGATTCCCACTTCTCGGGGTGAGAGACGTTGAATTCCGCTAAACGCCCAACTTTCGCCATGATCGAGAATCTGGGTCTTCTTCAGCCGCACGCACCCTCCAGCGATTTCGTACTGGCAGGATAAACGCTGACAGTAGTGATATATTCTTTTAATCATTTTGTCTTCGGTTCCTAATAATATTTTATCTAACTCTGTCAACTCTGTTTTTATACCCCAATATTTTTTATCTTTCCTATATCTTGATTGCAATTGGAGATATGCCCACCATTCCAGTTCTATCCCTTCATCCTGAAGATTTTTCCTTGATTTCAATTCTCCTCTCTCATCTAATATATTTTTGTACTTTATTACTTTCCCTAGTTGTATGAACATTGGATGTATGGAAGATTGCACATTCTTTACTCAATCTTTATGCAAGTCAATTCAGAACCAAATTGCATTGTTCCAATGGGAAATGTCATCCTCAGTGAAGAAGTAAGGTCTTTGGAACAGGAGGCATAAAGGACTGTAGGAAAAACAGACTTTCTCCCAATTTACAATAAATTTATCTTTCTGGAGCTATCATACCTTCCACAAAAATCTAGTGATTGGGGCTTCTCTGTTTGAAATGATAATTTCTTTGGGTTTATTTGAAAATCTTGGATAGAGAAAGACAGAACTTTGGGATCATGTGACCTTGAGTTCTACTTAACATGAACACTGGGTACTATCTAACAAAATGAAATTCAATGGTGAAAAAAGTAAGGTTCTACATTTAGGCAAGAAAAACCAAATGTACTGGTATAGGGTATACCTTGCTCAATAGTAGTAACTGGGAGAGGGATCTCGGAGTCCTAGTGGACAATCACTTAAATATGAGCCAGCAGTGTGCTGCAGCTGCCAAAAAGGCCAACACAGTGCTAGGCTGAATTAACAGACGGATAGAATCAAGATCATGTGAAGTATTAATACCACGTTACAATGCCTTGGTAAGGCCACACTTGGAATACTGCATCCAGTTTTGATCACCACGATGTAAAAAAGATATTGAAACTCTAGAAAGAGTACAGAGAAGAGTAACAAAGATGATTAGGGGACTGGAGGCTAAAGCTTATAAGTAACGGCTGCTGGAATTGGATATGTCTAATTTAATGAAGAGAAGGACGAGTGGGGACATGATAGCAATGTTCCAATATCTCAGGGGCTGTCACAAAGAAGAGGGAGTCAAGCTATTTTCCAAAGCGCCTGAAGGCAGGACAAGAAGCAATGGATGGAAACTAACCAAGGAGAGAAGCAACCTAGAACTAAGGAGAAACTTCCTGACAGTTAGAACAATTAACCAGTAGAACAACCTGCCTCCAGAAGTTGTGAATGTTCCAACACTGGAGGTTTTAAGAAGAGACTGGACAGCCATTTGTCCAAAATGGTATAGGGTTTCCTGCCTGAGCAGGGGGTTGGACTAGATGACCTCCAAGGTCCCTTCCAACTTTATTATTATTATTATTATTATTATTATTATTATTATTATTATTATTATTATTATTATTATTATTATTATTATTATTATTACTACTACTACTACTACTACTACTACTACTACTACTACTACTATTATTAATAATGGGGATGCCCAAACAGTGTACCTGTGTGAATGTCAAACATAGCCTTGAGAGACTGCAACAAAGATAAAAACAAATAAAGCAAAGGCTGACGCACAACTTGATTAGTTTTAGGTTTATTCCATTCTGTTTTAGGTTTCAGTTTTCATTCTAGCAGCATGATAAGGTAGTACAGGAAACAGAAACAAGACTATTATTCAAGTGCATGAGTTGAATTAATTAACTGGGAAGCCACTTTCAGTTGAATTAGCACATGACTAGAACTATTGATAAGACTGATCAATCAAGTTCCTTGGATTGACCCAACACTGCAAAAAGCTACCTTTGTTTCATTATTACCTTTTATAGAAATAACATTTTAATTTTAACATTGCTTTAGATAAATTAACAGCATGAGTTTCCTTTGTAAAGAATCTTGAATTATAGGACTCTGAGTGGTATTTCCATCTTCTGACTGCCTTTTTCTAGAATCATAATAAAATAAATTACCTTTCAACATCAAATTATTTTAATTTTCCAATATTTTATGCATATGCACAATCTCCCTAAAAACAATTAGCAGGAATTAGAAGTTGATGGTACTTTTTCAAGCAGATATGTCACTCAGAAAAGATGATCCCTTGTGTTATAAACTAGAAAAAAAACTTGAGAGTCTTACGTTGTTATCCACAGATATAAAGAAGCAATGCAGCCATTAATTTCTAGCTTCAAAATGCTCTTTCAACTCTCTGTCCATATGCTCCCCATGTTATATACTGTGTGTATGCTCCTCTCTGCAACTACTGTCATCAATCTCAGAATTTAGTGTTTTGGGTCCTCTGGTCCCTGTATTTCAATCAATTTCAGTGTCATTTGTTTTTGTTTCTGTTTTTTGTTTTTGTTTTTTTACAAAACTACAGATGCAACCAGTTTCATTATCCATTCCAAAAGCCAATTGGATGAAATTAATGTAATTTTTGCAATTACATTGTCTGCTGCATTGGCCCCTTACCTTTGGCTGCTGCCACCAGTATCTCCACTCTGATCCAGCAAGTCCACATCCTCCTGCCATGTAGGTAACTTGGATTTTGAATAAGCTTTTGACAAAATTTCTCATCCAAACCTCTTGAGGTTTCCTAGTTGTGAGTTAAGTGGAGAGCTGTTCTCATACTGTAGATAGATAATTGGCTAAATGATAGGAAACAGATGGTAAAATGAGATCTTACTTCTAGAAGTAGGAGAACTATCACAAGGAGAGACTTTGGATAGCAGAAACTGAGCAGGTACTGTAGAGGTTTTATATCAGTAAAGAAGGAAACAAGCAAGGGAGAAAGCATTAAAAGGTTAGAGGCAGTTTTTCTCTGCCAAGGAAAATATGTGTCTCTTTTGTAAAGAAGAATTTGATTTTTTAAAAAAATAAAGGAATATGACTATTTTGTGCTAAATATGTTTGTCCTTGATATATCTTTAATTTTTAGTCCATTCTATAGGTCATGGATGTCAAACTCGCTGCTTCACGTGACATTGGCAGTTCGAGTCTCACCAGCTCAAGATTGACTCAGCTTTCCATCCTTCCAAGGTTGGTAAAATGAGAACCCAGATTGTTGGGGGCAATAGCGGTATTCTGACTCTGTAATCCGCTTAGAAAGGGCTGTAAGGGACTGTGAGGTGGTATATAAGCCCAAGTGCTATTGCTAAAGGGCAGCAAATGATATTGTGGATTGTCTTATATCTGACTGTGAATGTTCCTTAGTTGTGAACTGTATGATTGATTCTCATTGTGGGTTTGCTCTTTTGTTTACATTTTCTGTTTTTAGTTTTGATTGAAAGGTCTGTTGACCAAATTTTAATTCTAATAAACTGCTCCAACTACTCAAATAAACATTGGGATATGCAGGTTCCAGTAAGGATCCCAATGGCAAGGCTTGAAAAACTGTTCTCTGCTCCTTGAATAACATATAATGGTCAGCATTCAAAGAAATTGCTTCAGTATATGGAATTCTTTAAGTCTTGCTTCAGCCTTTTTTCAGCCTGGTGTCTCTGGAGATGTTAGAACAAAAAGCTAATAGCCAACATGGTATTGGATGACAAGAGGCTGGTAAAGCCTGTTTATAATAGAGATTCTACTGAAAAAGAAACACTTCTCTTGTGGGAATTTGTATAAAGCAGTATTTCTCAACCTTAGACAATTTAAGGTACCTGGACTTCAGTTCTGAGAATCTGAGAATTCTGGGAATTGAGATCCAGACATCTGGTTGCCAAGGTTGTGAAATACTAATCTGAAGGCCTCTGGTGATCCTTATAGTATTATGTAGCACATCCTGAGGAGAGATTGCTGTTGGGTAAAATAAATAATTTTGTACATACAGAATAACAGAGTTGGAAGATCTTCTAGTCCAATCCCTTATTCAATCAGAAGACCCTATACCATTTCATACAAATGGCCAGTGCTTTTTTTCTAAAAAAAAAAAAGGTGCCGGAACTCACACATGTTATACAACCTGCCTTGCCTACGCTACAAGATTCCATCCAAAAATGGTGCCGGAACTCCATTCTGAGCGTTCTATGAGAAAAAAAGCCCTGCAAATGGCTGTCCAATCTATTCTTAAAAACCTTCAGTGTTGGAGCACCCAAAACTTCTGAAGACAAGCCATCCCACTGATTAATTGTTCCAACTGTCAGGAAATTTCTCCTTAGTTCTAGGTTGGTTTTTTCTTTGATTGGTTTCCATCCATTGTGGCTTGTTCTGCCTTCAGGTGCTTTAGAGAATGAACAATAGCATATTGCTTTAAAATTTCTTCAGAACTTTGTTTACTTCAGGCATGCCTTTCCCTTAACTTTTTTCACATCATTATTCATATATTTCAGATACTGAGCATGCTATCTCATTCCTACATATTCGTTTGAATGTATAAATGTTTTCTAGGTAGGTCCTTCAGTTTATCCACTGTCACAAATGTTACTATTTCTACCATTCCTTCTTGTAATAGGAGTAAGAGTAATAGGTATAGGAGTTACATAAACAGTTAGTTAAAAAAATCAATACTTTTTTCCACTGCTGTTTCTATTTCTCTAATATCTTAACTCTCAACCAATCCTTGTTCAATTACTTTGTGCCTTGTCTGTATCACCATGTTAGCTCATTGTATAGTAAACTGAGATTCGGTGGACTCAGAAAGTTTTTGTACTGCTTTCAAAAGTCTCAAACATCTTTTTTTAAGTAGAGCATGATAAGGCAAAATGCAAAACATGGTTTTAGTTATTCTTTTCTCATAGGAAAGTAACTGTTCTTTTTCTCATTCTATCTGGGATGGGGAAAAATGTGACTGCACAAATTTTCTGTGAATATTTCTCATTTATATATGAGTGTCCATGCATGCACACATCAGACAGCATTCTCCCTCCCTCTCATTCATGCAATAAACATATGGTCTGGGATTATTCTAGGCTTGAGGCATCAATGCAAAATAATGGTTGAACTTCCAGATTTTTTTTCTACAGCCATTACAAATGAAACAAAACAGAACTGAACAAAACCAAACAAAAACAATCTTATATTCTCTGAATGTTTCCGCCTGTCTGATTTTTCTACTCCCCAAATATTGGAGGATTTCAAGAAGTCACTTGCCCCTAACATTTTTCCCACTGTGACATGGATATATATTTGTTCCCTGAAGTTACTATTTTTGATTCTGATGTATCCTCACCCTCTGCACCTACTTTCTGCAACTTCCAATACTGGCAAATTCTTTAGGACAATTCATATGTAGACAAAATCCTTTGCTTGTTGGTTTGAATGGATTGGCTTTCTGTATAGAAAACCAAAATACTTCATATGAGGGAAATCTAGTACAAAGTACATTTTTGAATAGAACAAGTTACCCATCTGTACAAAGAAATAAACTCTAATTAGTCTCAGATATGTAAACCTTTCCCTAAACCACAACACCAGTTAGAACCAGTTGGGTGGGAAAGTATACAAGTATTTTTTTCTTAGAATTTGTAAATTGTTGAATTGTTTTTTTTAAAATGCTATCATTTCTAGTTCCTACAAATGTCTGGGCAGTCTTATACATACTGCAGTATATTAATATATAGGATGTGTACATAAATCATGCACACAGATAACTATCATGTCTGAGAACCACCGGAACAGTTTCCAGAGCAGTCTAGATTTCTATGAAAGGTTCCAAGCCATCTTTTTGGAGACGCCTTAAGCATTTATGTATACTGTCATTATCAATATTAATAGCTAGAGCAGGAATCTTTATCCAGTTTTTGCCAAACTTTAGTTCCCATCACGTCCAGTCAACAGAATCAATGGTCAAGAAATGTTAAAGACTTAAAATATCCAGTGGATTACAGGCTTCCCATGATTAGGAATGATCAAAATCATAGAAGGTTTCAGCAAAGGTTTATTATTTTGGATGGAACAGAAAATCCAGGAGTCATTTATGTTTATGTTGTCATTTATATCTACTGCAGAGCTACATCCTCTGCAGGATGGGGAATAAGTAAGCAAGTAATTGACTGATTGATTATCAGGAATGGGCACATTAGTCAGTTTTTACTTCATAGTTTTTCCTTGCTTCTATTTTAAATTTGATGTGTTCTGTTCCAATTGTTGCTAAAGAATGCATCAAATACTTTAGGTACAGCATGTATGTTAAGACATGATTAGGCCTTATACTATTTTGTTTCCAGTTTTACCTTATAGACTGTTTTGCCTTCAGTTTTAGCTTGTAAATAGTATTATCTGTGATGCATTTTGTCCACTTTTCCTTACTAAGCCATAGAATTGCATTGCCATAGAATTCTAAATTTCAGTCTCTATATTGGTCCAAAAATACAAGGCTTGCATTGAAAATCAATTCAAGTGAGCTTACCTAATTCCTAAAAGACATTTTTGGCTTATTTGGTAGTATCTTGAATGCTTTGTTCCCCATAACCTTTTGTTTCTTTATAACCTAATCACTAAAAGCAGTCTTCAAAATCCTAAGATCTGCATGTGATTGTAAGAAAGGAGGATAATGAGGAGAATTCTAAAAATATTGGTCCCCAACTTTGCTTGGAATCATTCTATTTAGAACTGAAACAGCTACTTACCTATATAAAGAAAGACAATCAAGGCAAGGGCAATGTAAAAGGAGCAATAGTTCTTCATAACTGCATCTAAGCAATGGCTAATATTTGACCAAGAGCACAGTATTCCTACAACAGGAGACATTAAGAGTGACAGCCCTACCACAGTGCAGCCTGCTGCTGATTGTTAAATGCCGAAAACTAGGATAAACCCTGCTCACTTTTCTTTGATTTCAACCTCAACAAGTGCAGCTTGCAAATTAGGTTCTGGGATTTTTCCACAGCTTGTAGGAATTAGAAAAGACAAGAACATCATGCAAACATCTGTATTTCATGTGCCAGTCACACAGAAGGACAGAAAAGTAGCAAACTGCCCAGGAGAGATGGATATGGAATATCCCAGAAACTGCAATAAGAAAACAGTAGGGTGTGTTCAGTGCCAAACATGGAAATTTCCCCAAGCCTGGTAAGAAGGACTCAGTAAACACCAGCCTTTTATATTTTATCTTTAAGATTTCAACCAAATAAAGGAACATATATGGAATAGATGCATAGTTCTGGCAACCAGACTTCTAAAACGATATTTTACATTTGGAAGGGAGCATAAAATAAAAGCTAAAAGAATCTGTTGTTTTCCCTTCTTCTACAAAGGAAAATATTTCTAATGATGTTGGAGAATTTTCAGGCTTTCAAAAAGCAAGTATAATAGAGTAGGATATGACAGAAATGGATCAAATGCTTTGAGAAAAGTTATTTCTCTACGAAGAAGAAAAAAGGAAGAAAGAGGATCAGGAGGGAAGAATTTTAATTGATTTGTAATAGAGCTCAGACATTATTTTAAAGGAAAAACATGTGAAGCTCTTGAACTATCCTGAATGAGGACAAGCAGATAACAAATAAGGAATTTTAAGTAAGAGTAAAGAAGTGATGGAACTTGCAGTGTGACTATCGCCCCTTCCCCTTTGCAAATTTATCTTCTTTGGTACTTTTTTTTTGCTTTCCTTGCTAGATAGATAAATAGACAGACAGACAGACATTTGGATTATCATTTCTCTCTCTCTTTCTTTTAAAGTTTCCTCATCTTAAACGTATCTATGGCAAGCATGAATAACCTGATCCTTCCTGTGCTTGAACATTTATACTGTGAAGTCAAGATGATACAAGCAAATTTTAACTCTTTGTTTCTCTCTAGTGGTCATCTAGAGTATTGCAGTACAGCTTTGCTAGACTGGTGTAAGATTTCCACCCAATTAATTTACTCTTTTATAAAATCAAACACATTTTTTCATAAATGTAATGTGAAAGAAGTGGGAGAAAATACCAAAATGCCAGATTCAGTTTATCTAACAATTTATTCTGGCTTGTGCTTAAAAGTTTGGTAATTTTGATAATAATAATAATAATAATAATAATAATAATAATAATAATAATAATAATAATAATAATAATAATAATAATAATAATAATAATAATAATAATAATAATAATAATAATAATAATAATAATAATAAAGTTGGAAGGGACCTTGGAGATCATCAAGTCCAACCCCCTGCTCAGGTAGGAAACCCTATACCATTTCGGACAAATGGATGTCCAGTTTCTTCTTAAAAACGTCCAGCATTATTGTGTTAGAGATGTCTTGCAGCCATGACATCCAAGCCTTTTTCCCTCATCACACAGTTATGGTTGCTTTTTCAGTGTACATTTATATGTCCATAAGTCAATGCACATTATGATTAATCTGTGTTCATATTTGCGGCTGTGATGGAGGAAGAAGAATGGAGCTCAATACAGAGAAAGAAAGCTGGTTATTAAAGTGGAATATTGTTATAGTAAAAAGTTAGTTTCTATAGAGAATTTATTTCCCACTACGAATAGCATGATTGGTTGTCCATTTCATGGGATTTGTGTTTAATGGTTCTTGTTTTGACAAGTCCTAGAAAAGCCTGCCCTTTCCCAGCAATTTGTCCGATACAGTGATAAGAAGTGTTTTTGCAATGAAGTAATTAGTTTCAAAGAGGTTACAGAGAATACTTTTGATTAATGCTATTTTTCAAACCAAGAAAGGTTAACCAAGCAATTCCAGTTGGGAAAAGCACCTTTGGGACAACCATGACCTGGATGATTGAGAATCTCCAGATTCTCATAGATATTTTCTATTTTTCTTGTTGTTGTTTGTCTTTTAGGTAGATGGCATTGGATACAATGTTATTAAGCTTTGCTTTGATTCAGTCAAGGACAGGATAGGAAGTCCTTGCCTTAATTCAATTAGGAAAGGGAAAATGTGTTAGTAGAAGAGCTTTTGCCTTGACTCAATCAAAGATGGAAAGATATCAGTGGAATGTCTTTGTTACTGGGCTTATCTCTGTGGTCCAGTTAATCAGTAAATGATGTTGGATAGGGGAGGAGGAAGAGGAATGGTTCGTGCTTATATAACTTTTGGATATGGATAATTTTTTCATTTCATTTATAGGGCAGAACAGAAATTGGGTAGACTGTAGCCCCAGTGATTAAAAAATGAGCAACAACATTTTTTACATGCTATTGGGAAATGCAATTTACACTCCGTGCCTCCTTCTGGGGTTTGGCATCAAAGATCTGACAGAAAACACATCAATTGCCTTTTTGTGGGGGTGGATAGGGAACAGGAGACATGGAACATTGAGTTTGAACTGACTCATCTCTAAAAGTTGACTTTGAAAATATTCCTGGTTCTCTAGAGACCAAGTCCAAGTTAGCAATAATAAAATAGGAAAACAGGATGGGGGGATAAGGTACTTTCAAAATATGTTTGGAAAAATGACATGTTGCCATAGATATACAAGACATTTCTCAATCAAGAAGACTGAAATGGAATGGTTTATCCTAATTGAGGTCAAAATTATAGCCAGGAGTTACTAATCATGTTTTGTTTAACCAGGGTTTCTTGAATAACCATATTAGCTAACTCATAGAATATGCAAAGCCAAAACCAAATTCAAGAAGCCGCATTATGGATTCCCATATTGGGTGAGTCAGCTAAATTGTGTATAACAGAAACATAGCCGTATTGCCCAACACCTCTTCTGGTATATGGGGACAATATTTCCTTTGCAGTAATCTGGGCTAGAGAAGAAGTCCAGATATTGTCGGTCAGCCATTCTCAATGCCTTTTCTGCATGACTTCCAGGCCTAAATGATCTGGAGATAAGAATTCATTTTGGGACTTTTTTTTTTTTTACTTTAGGTGGCCATTCTAATAAAAACCTCTCTAACAATAACAATAAAGGCCAAAGAAGATATTGTTCAATCCATATGCTTTATTAGATATCACTCTGTGATGTAATGGATATCACGATAAATATTGCTTTCTGAAGATTTTTTAGTGTTGATTGGAAGTTTTGGAGCAACTTAATCTTTCTCCTATGACTTCTTTTCACACAGAAACCTAGTTTATGCCCTTAGCAGATCCAGGCTGTTTACTACTCCATTAATAGCAATAGCACTTAGATTTATATACTGCTTCACAGTGCTTTACAGCCCTCTCTAAGTGGTTTGCAGAGTCAGCATATTGCCCCCCAACAATCTGGGCCCTCATTTTACTGACCTCAGAAGGATGGAAGGCTGAGTCAATCTTGAGCAGGTGAGACTCAAACTGCTGAACTGCTGGCAGTCGGCAGAACTAATCTGCAGTTCTGCACTCCAACCATTGCACCACCATGGCTCTCTTGAACTAATAATAATAATAATGATAAAGTTGGAAGGGACCTCGGAGGTCATCTAATCCAACCTCCTGCTCAGGCAGGAAACCCTATACCATTTCGGACAAATGGCTGTCCAGTTTCTTCTTAAAAACTTCCAGTGTTGGCGCATTCACCGCTTCTGGAGGCAGGTTGTTCCACTGGTTAATTGTTCTAACTGTCAGGAAGTTTCTCCTTAGTTCTAGGTTGCTTCTCTCTTTGGTTAGTTTCCNGCTTCTTGTCCTGCCTTCAGGCGCTTTGGAGAATAGCTTGACTCCCTCTTCTTTGTGGCAGCCCCTGAGATATTGGAACACTGCTATCATGTCCCCCCTCGTCCTTCTCTTCGTTAAACTAGACATACCCAATTCCAGCAACCGTTCCTTATATGTTTTAGCCTCCAGTCCCCTAATCATCTTTGTTGCTCTTCTCTGTCTCCTGAGTGTTTCTTCAGCATCTGGGTCCTTCTCTAAGGGTGCCCTCTCCGCCTACAGAGAAGCATTCCATTTCTCTGGTCTCTCTCACATCTCCTTTAATCTTCTAAATATCTGTTGTCTCTCTCCTTAATCTCAGCACAAAGTTTTCAATCAGCTAAAGGAAGTCTCCCACTAGGCTTGCCCTGAAAGGCTTGCCCTCATTTCCTTTCCCCCTCCTTGTAAGTGAGGCTAGAAGTCCCAAACAATTATTTGGGTTAGGGGCCATCTCTCTCTTACACCGGCTATCAAATATGTTTTATCTGCAAAGCAGGGCTGCAAAGAAAATCTCTTCTTCCCTATTTCCTCAATAAGCTTTTTGGTAGTCAGTAAAACTTGGGAGGGGTCTTGGCTGCTTTAACTTGCCTGCTTGAGTGAATGCAGCTTGCTCATTCTGTACAGGAGAATAACGTGATGTGGGAATTCAGAATATGATCAACTCTATCTTCAATTCTATCTCATTTTATAAGCCAAGACTACACCTTGTGTGGTGCCTGCCAAAGCCACTGGCTAGGCTTCTCTGTCAAGAAACTCAAAACAGAACTACTGGTACTTACTTCCAGTGGGGTCTGATTTTACCTTCAGTAGAAAAAAGAACAATGCTATAATTTAGTTTTTTCATTCCAAGTAGACCCACAGCAGGAGAAACAGTAACCAGAATGAAGTTCTCCCGGAGGAAGTGGGAGGTAGAAAGGAATCCTCATATTAGTTTTAAGTTCAGTTTTAAGAAAATTGTGGGGAACCTTAGCTTAGAAAATTTGAGGGTATACGTTAATGTTTTTCCCCCCAGGTTGTTACTGTAAGATGTATTTGAGTAGTTGTTACCATTTGTTAGCACTGGTGTTAGCAATAATACTATTTCCTTGAGGATTTTTGTGTTTCATAGTATGGTTCGTAACTGAGTAGATATTCTCATGGAAATAGAAGGAGATTAGACATTAACCTTTAAGAAGCTGTACAGTGATCAGGCCATTCCAGGAAGCAAAGAAGATTGAAGAAAGCTGGAAGATAATATTTTAGCAACTAAGACATGAAAAATAGGTAGCTGTGGCCTGTATGTGGCCTCCCAGCATCTGAGATCATACTATTCAACTCTGATAGTAAAATAACAAAGTGGTGTGATTTTTTTTTATTTACAAAATTATACATAAGAATGAGACTAGAAGGCAAGTCACCAGAAGAGTGTAATGGAATCCTTTCATGGATTGCATTCTCTTATTGTTTGGGACTGGATATGGTTGAAGGTAGACAGGAACTCTTCAAATGAATATGAAAAGAAGCTCCTTTCATGCTTCAATGCAGGGGAATCAGTCTATGCTGGCTGATGAAATCTAGGAGTTAATTCTAGGAGTTAAGGTAATAAGTCCTGACATGTTGCAGATTTCCTATCTCCTTGAAAATGCAATTTAGTGGCAGCCTAAGGAGTAGTTAGGGGGTCATAAATAAAAGTAACCAAGACTTTCTATGGCTGCACTCAGCTCTGGATCATCAGATTATACTCCTACAGTCTATGACATCAGGCCATAAATGCCATTTGAAAATCATTAACAATATGGATGTGGAGTAATAATGGAAAAATCCTCCAATTTCTCCAGCTTAATAATGATAACTTCTGTCTCAGTCTGATTCAAGGCTAGCATAGTTGAGACTGTGTGGCAAAATCTCTGGCATCACAACCATTTTGCAAAAGTAGTGTTCTGTATCTGGCGAATGTTACCTCATTTACCTGGCTGTACTCCATGGTCTAGAGCAATTGGTGCATTACATGAGACATTTTGCAATTCTGCCCTTGCATTTAGAAATGGAATAAACTGGGTTTCCCAAAATATATTAATGATTAAGGTTTTTCTCAAGTTTCATGATGTCATAGTTCTCTGAAAGTCTTATATAGACAGACCCCTTCTTTTCCTAAGAACTTCAAGCAGCCTAGAGTGTAACACATCTGGAGAACATCAGCCTTCAGCCATGAAGACCCTTTTCCTTTTGTTTGCTGCTCTCTTGTTCTTCAGTCAAATTATTCCAGGTAAGAGAGGGGGGGAAATAAGAGAGATACAGATTAAAATATTTACATTAAATTAAATACTACAAATAGAGTATTTATAAAGTAAAATTAATATGCACTGCTCTTTATACAGGAAGACATGAGATCTTTGCCCTAGAACTGACAGTCAAAAATTCAATACTTTTTAAGAATTTAAATATTTTATTGGTAAAGAATAACAGATAAAAGATATGATAAAGTACAATAAAATATAATATTGCAAATTTAATAAAAATATTATAAAACAGTAATTAAATGAATGACAGTTGAAGAAAATAGAGGTATATTTATAAAGTATTAATAAAGAAATAGTTCAGCCTTTAACATATTATTAAATCTACCCATATAGGCCATATAAAATGGCCATTTTTTCTCCATTTTAATACAGTATATTATTTCAATAAAACAATATTTATATAATGCTTTTAGATTCTTAATATTCTATTATATTAGAATATAGATTAGAATAATGATTATAGAGTAGATATGTGATATGTAATTACTATCAATAGTAATTACAGTTTTGAATATTAATGTAACAAGCATTGTGATTAACCCCCTGCTCAGGCAGGAGACCCTATACCATTTCAGGCAAATGGTTGTCCAATTTCCTCTTAAAAACTTACTTATTTCTAATCAAGTTATTCTTTTTTCACTTCTGAATGGCAGGTTAACCAGTATAATAATAATAATATTATTATTATTATTATTATTATTATTATTATTATTATTATTATTATTATTATTATTATTTAAATTTATATACCGCCCTATCTCCCTTACGGGACTCAGGGCGGTGAACAGGCAATAATAAAAATCACAGTAAATATTACATAAATATTGACTTCATTGTTGTCATAAACTACAGGTAATACTGTGTTCAGGTAGTTAATCATTTTACAAAGGTTAGGAAACCTGGGAGCTTGCCAGAAAGTCTAATTTCAAGAAACCTGAATTTCCTGAACCCCTTGGGCCTGTGGCTTTTAAAAAGCTTCAGAAAGCTAATTTGCTTTGATGATGCCCATCACTTTAAAAAGGGAAATGAAGCTACAAAGTTTCTTGTTTGGTCAGGGAGCTTTGCATCATTCCAACTGGGCAGGAACCCCAAAAAGCAATAGGATTGATGCACAGCACCCTGAGAAACAGTGGTTTGAAGTATCTCAGTGATAACAGGAAATCTAAAGCCAGGCTACCTAGACCAGTAGTACCTCACTATCCCCTCATCCTAGCTTCCGTCTCCAAATAAAACTTCTAAGAGAAAGATGAATAGGGAAGCCGCCAATATAAACTCATTGTTTTTGTTGATTGTGACAGGAAATTCTCAGCCTGCCCCTGATACCTTAGTATGCAGGAGGAGTCATCATGGATTCTGTAAATATAACTGCCCTGGGGAGACTTTACCTACTGGAGGGACATGTCAGTCGGGAAGACTGGTTTGCTGTAAATCGTAAGTCAAAAGTCATTGTATTTATTAAAAGGACCAAGTAAATCCAGGAATTTTGACTGTTAATAGATAAGTTTTATGTATGCCACAAGACGGGACATTTTCTCTTGTGGTGTCCAAATTGACACCAACTTTGCTTGACTTTAGAAGATCTGGCTTTCCACTCTTGAGTTCAGGACTATGCATCTACAGGCTAATTTTGCCTTTTGTCCTTTGAATTGTTTTATCTTATTTTCCTTAACACTCTGATTTTCAGGTAATGGGTAGAAGGTGTGTGTGTGTGTGTGTGTGTGTGTGTGTGTGTGTAAGAAGGAAATATTTCAAAATATCTTCTCAGAAATACTGTATTTTCCCATGTATAAGACGCTATTTTTTGCTGCAAACACCCTGTTAAAAAATCAGGTGTGTCTTATACAAGTGCAATGTACACGGAAAAATAATGGTAACCTCCGCAGCCCAGGGCATGCCTCTGTGGGTTGCCATGCCGCCTGGTGCAGGTGTCAAGCCCTATGGGCTTGCCACTAATGGGAGGGGGGAGGGGGCAAGACTGTCGGCTGGCCGAACTTCCGGATTTGCCGGCTCAGCTGTTCAGCGCTCCGCTGAACAGCTAATCAGCATGGAGAAACTCGCATGCCAGAGTGTCTTATACAAAGGTGCGTCTTATAGACGGAAAAATACAGTAAGTCTCACTGACTTAAATGTTCATGATGATTTGTTATCCTGTTTCTTAATAAGATTTCTTAAAAATCTATCCAGCTGCCAGTTCTTCTTTTGTATGCATTCTTTTGTGATTATTTATTTATTTCCTGCCTTTATTGTTTGCACAAATAACTCAAGACACCAAACATATCCGACATACCTTCCTCCTCCTGTTTTCCCCAAAACAACAACCCTGTAAGGTGGGTTGGGCTCAGAGAGAGAGAGAGTGGCTGGCCCAAGCCATCCAGCTGGCTTTCATGATGGCTAAGGCAAGTCTGAAATTCATGGTCTCCCACTTTTTAGCCTGGTGACTTAACCAATAGACCAAACTGGTTCCATTGATATAATTGATAATTAACTCCAACAGAAAAGTGGGCTCTATCCAACAAATGAAATTTAGAGTGGAGAAAAGCAAGGTTTTACACCTCTCCTAGGCAGGAAAAACCAAAGATACAAGTACAGATTAGGCAATACCTGGCTCAAAAACAGTAACTGTGAGAGGGACCTTGAGTCCTAGTGGATGATCATTTAATCATGAGCCAGCAATGTGCGGCAGCAGCCAAAAAAGTTAATAAAATCCTTGATTGTATATACAGAGGCATAGAATCAAAATCAGTATTAGTACTGCTTTATAAACTACATCTGGAATATTGCATCCAGTTTTGGTCACCACATTACAAAAAAGATGTTGAGACTTTGGAAAAAATGCAAAGAAGAGTAACTAATGCTCTTGATTAAAGGCTTGGAGACAAAAACATTCTAATATTCTAATATTTGCATTTTTTGTGTGTGCAATTTTGCCTAATTTGGTGTAGTTTTGTAAACAATTCCTCTAAGAAAATTCAAATTTGAACATTGCCCGTAATCATTAGATCTGAAATGAGCAGAAAATAAATAAATTATAAATAAATAAATAAATAAATTCTACTACCAGTCATATATTTAAGCATTTTCCCCTCATGTATGTTTTTTTTCTTTAAAACAATACATTTGAAAGTTTAGAGCAGTGGTGGTGAACCTATGGCACACATGCCAGAGGGGGCACTCAAAGCCATCTCTGTGGGCATGTGCGCCATCGCCCCAGCCCTGCCTGCCCCTACGGCCCTCTCCTCACCAGCAGTCCTCCCAGAGGAGAGTCATCCCTGGGCGTGGCCTGCGCGGAGCAGTGCAGCCAAGGACATGACAGCCAGGCAGCAGGGACAAGACTCTGCTCTTGCGCCCTGTCATGCGTAGATGATGCTGTGGGCCCCAGGTGGAGGACATGGCTGCCATGGTGCTGCTGGGCCACCTGGGCGATCTGCTGCGGCAGGCCATGGAGGCAGTGGGTGGCCCTGCAAGTGGGCAGGGCAGAGGCATGTTTTGGCACTCGGTCTCTAAAAGGTTCACCATCACTGGTTTAGAGAAATGAAATATAGAAGCATAATTACATTTCAACTATTATGGTTAGGAATCATAAACTAAATAAGGTTCCATTCAAACAAAAGGCAAGCAATTGTTTGTTTTCTCTACCAGTACTGCACCATTAAAGCAAAGTTATGGAAATTTTACTTTAGAAACTTCAAAATCTCATGATTCCAAAGGAAATAAATTATCCCAAGAGATTATTTTATGCAGAATGTACCTTATATCTGATTTGGCTTCTTATTGAAACCCTTCTCTTTATTAGCACTTCAGATCAGATTAAATTATTAGAATTCAAAGAAGCTTTAAAGGTCAACTAAATCATCTTCCTCCTCAAGTGTATGCCTCTAGCTTTTACATTTATTATATCACACAGATGTTCTTCCAAACCTTTCTATTCATTTCACTTTTTAGAGTGACATAAAACAAGCCAGCTTCTGCTTATGTGACTACCTTTCTATTAATTACTACAATGGTAGAGCAAATAGATGGTGGACAGAATAGCTACTTTTTAAGTTTGTATATGGCAAAAAAAAAAACCTGTATTGTAATTAACTGTTCTTTCTCTCTTTCTAGTCCTTGGAATCAGAGAAGGTGGTAATCAACTCAGCCATAGACAAAGCAAGACTTCTGGATTCTAGAGAAATACATGCTGACATTGGAAATTGGTGGCTTCAGCTTCAAAGTCAAGAATAAAGAGTTATTTGTTTGGACTACAAAACAGACATAATGTTCTGCAAATAAATTCACACTCCTGTCCACCCTTTCCTCTCCTTTTACATTTATTCATTTTTTTGACTTAAGGGGAAGTTTCAGAAACGATTAAATAAATCAGTTAGAGTTCTCTGCATAGAAATTTGGAAATAAAAGTTAATCCCAAATTAAGAAATAATAGGTAAATTTTAGAAATAGGCTGTAATGTCAAAAGATAACAGATTATGGATATTTTAAACAAAGGAAGGCAAAAAAGAAGGGACAAGAAACTACTTGCTTTTCTGGAATTCTGTGGAAGAAATTTACATTTTTACTTACAAAAGATAAATTACAGAGCTAGTATAATCTATTCCCTTGTGATATGCATGAAAATATATCTCATTTAAATATCTGCACAATTATGCACCTTCTGCTTCATTTGCATATACTTGTTTCTTGTGCCTTCCACCTTTTTTCTCCTCAAAAGTTTTTTTATATCTATCATCTCTCTCTCCCTCTAAAGATTTTTAAAGAGAAAGATAAAAACTAATACAAATTAATTTCAAGTAAAAAAAACAAAAAGAGAAGAAATAAAAGAAAAAGCTAAAAGTGCAAGAAGGAAAAAAGAACTAAAATAAAAATGATAGGAAAGAGAAACAAAGAAGTAGCTTCCAATATTCTTTACAGTAGTTATAAGTACAATTATACAATTGCCTCTTACTTTATGGTTACAATATGTCTCTCTTCTTTCTAGAATCTATCCGGTCTAATCATCAAACCCATAAATTATAAATTCATTTTTCCCCATTTCATGCGAAAAGTTCATAAGGGGTCTACAGTCAGCAATAAACATGGATATTGTCTTTTCTCTGTTCAAAGAAGTTTTTTTTTTTTTCAAAAGCAGTATAAATTGTGAAGTCTGCAATTTCAGGCATGCCCATGAGAGTTTGAACATAAAAAAAAAACCTTTATGCATTTGCACTGAGTGTTATCTCCTTTTTTCTATTAATGTTGCTTAGTCTTGTAAAACCTACTAACAAACTCAAATAAAATACAGATCTTAAAGCAAATTTGAGAGTGTTTATTATTGATTTTCCCATTCAGACAATTTCAAGATGTATTGGATGACAAATCCTACCATTTCATCCAATCCATTATAACAAGAGTAGCAGGCTGAAGAAAGCATCTCTATTACCCAAAGGTGCTTTTTCAAAAAGCAACTGGACTTTCTTTGTTTTTTCTCTTAAAGATATTTAACTTCTCATCCAAGAAGTATCTTCAGCTCTGAATATATTTCAGTTCTGAAGATGCTTCTTGGATGAGAAGTGAAACATCTTCAAGTCCAGTTGCTTTTTGAAAAAGCACCATTGGGACAACCATGATCTGGATGACTGAGAATCTCCATAGACATCTCTAATATCTTACTATTATGAATTAGTTGAGATTGTACCTCCGGAACCCTTTTTTTTTAAAAAGTGTGCTTTAAATCAAACTAATTCAAAAAGAAGTAACAGTTTGAATAAAACAGGATTCTTCCAAAGTTCATTGAATTCAAACTCTTTCATAGATATGGTAACAAATGATTTATCCACATAACCAGTTTTCCCCAGCATGAGGAGGGCCACTGACCTACCAGCATCAGCTTACCAGAAAGGTGACCTTCATCAATCTTTTCTACCACATATCAATGTTAATGCTTTCTGGCTTATGCTGGCTCAAACAGCCCTGCCCAATTTGCCTACTGAATTTCATTTTATTGGAGGCAACACCTCCACTCCAATAGGTTATTGTCTGCTGTGGCTGTGGCAGGAACAATCCCTCATCTCTGGTTCCTGGTCCCTGTGCTCCGTGACCATTTTTTAAAACAAGTTCATCAATAAAAAGAGAACCGCTTTGAGATTATTTTTTACAACTTCATTATGAAATAGCGCATTGTGGACCTCTTTGTTTATAAGAAAAGGATGAATCTGGGTTTTTTAGCCATAGGAAATTGACAAAAGTTTTCTCTTTTAGCCCAAATGAAGTACACATTTAAAACACACACACACACACACACACACACACACACACAGAGAGAGAGAGAGAGAGAGAGAGAGAGAGAGAGAGAGAGCCCAAGAGGGGTAAAGAAGGAGGAGAATCCACTAATCAGGACCATGGTAGATGTGGTCCAAATGGAACAAGAGCACCAAGGGCCAAGGGGGGTGACAGGACTGACATGTGAATATGAAAAGGGACTTTTTAAATTAGTCTTCTTTACTATCTAGTCTATATTCAACTTAAAGCAGTAGAATACTAAAGCCTAAAACAGTTCATGATTTCTGCAGAAACTGATATTTTTCTTCTCAGATTTCCCATCCATGAAGAGAGAGTAAGGAAAGGAAGGATATATGATTTTGTGACAGGCAGTGAATTGATCTTTATGAGAGCTCACTAATTACAGCTTTTGTAGATTGAATGTTTTCTTCCCATTCCATTCAATCATATCCGATTCTCAGAGATTGCCTGGATGAGTCCCTGCAGTTTTCCTGACAAGTTTTTTTAAGAAATAGTTTGCCATCGCTTTCTTCCTAGGGGTGAGAAAAAATGACTGCCAAAAGTCACTCAACTGCCTTTGTGCCTAAGATGGGACTAGAACTCACACTCTCCCAGTTTCTAGCCAAACTGACTACACCAAAGTGAATGCAGTAATAACGTATTGCAGGATGGTTCTGAAGTTCCAGGGTTTTCATTAGCTTTCTCTTAAAGACCATTGCTGATGTCTCAATTACCATCCTAGTCTAAAGCATCATGAACAATGCAGTGTAACTACCAATTACTCCAGGACTCCACTGCTGTGGTGGAACATTTATACATGAACAGCAACTTGCAAATATTTCTCTTTCCTGATTACATGAACACATGGCTATTTAAGATAAGACTGGGAAGTGCCTAATGCACAGGGATGTCTGTGGTGGGGCTCAAAAAATTTATGATAAAGCTACAATCAGGCCACCTGCCAAAATTGAAAATGAAAAGAGGCAGGGCTTTGATCACATGGTTGTGGCTTCTGTCTTTGACTTTTTCAACTCCCTGATAATGCTGGAAGGGCCTTCCTCTGTCCACTGCTCAAACATATCAAGAACCTGGATATTGAGTGAATACATAAGAGCATATAAATCTCTTAAATAAATGTTACTCTTTGGACAATATATATTCTGTGGTGTTTAATGGGGCAGAGAAGAGAAGAAAGAGGATGAAGGAGCCAAAGGCAAGAATAGGATGTTCATTGCTTTTGATTTAATTTTCCTTCTTCTGACTCTACATTTGAAACATTTGTAAGCATTTGGAGACCCTCCCCTAGCTCTAGGATTTGTTATCTGAAGACACTATGTTTTAATTGTAGCACTTTGCTTCAAGGCCAATTATTTGTCTTTAAGTATTTAGATTTTGGCTTATGAGAGTTTGCTTATGTAAATCTTAGACTTAACTGACAATAAGTATTTTAAGATTTTTAATTACAGTGAAATTATTCTTTTACTATTTCCGTCTTATTTTTCCCCTAGTATAATTCTGATGCTTAGTTACGTGGCCTTTAGTAGCTTTTGCTTATAAACAATTTTTTTTTCTTTTACTCAAGGATTATGTAGGCTTATTTATTTATTTACTAGATTTATAAAGTTGCCCAATTCACACAAGGTGATTCTGGATGGCATACAACAAAAAGCAAACAGTAAACCAACCCCTTCCCCAAAATACACAAAACAAAAACATATCTAAATATAAAATACAAAATATAAAAATGGCAATCAAAGACCAAAGACCATAAGGGAATCTAAAAGGGGACTCCACTCAACTGGCCTCTAATGCTGGGGAGGAAAGTCAGGCATTAAAAATAAGTTGGATTTATTTTTATTTTCTTTATTAATTTATTAAATGTATATAATTATACATATATGGGAGGGATTGTTTCAGAGAACAAAGGCAATCACAGAAAAGGCACACTTCCTAGTTCCCTAAGATGACAAGATTTATCAGAATGTATCAGGAAAATGCTCTCCCTATGCCATAGGCATATCTTTTTGAGAGACGGCAGTCCTGCAAGTAACTTGTTCCTATACCAGGTAAGGCTTCATAGCTGATAACCAGCACCTTGAATTGTCCCTGGATGCCTATTGGAAGTTAATGCAGATCTCAGAATAGCAGTGTTCTGGATCAATCAGTTAGATAGATCTGTATGTTAGAATGTTTGGCATTTATTGGGTTAAGTGCTGTCTTCTTAAGAGATGGCTTATGGGTAATGTAGTTTAGTTATTCAGTGAATCCCATTGTTAACAAGTCTGTAGGAGGAGCCACTAAAGTCCATCACAGGATATCCTGGCTACGGGCCAGCTCGTGTTTAATTGTCTTTGTGCAAACTAACCATGCAGCACACATGGACATCAAATGTAATAAGGCAAAAGTGAATATGGAGAAATTATTGATTTTACCGACATAATGGATAAATGTTCACTACTGGACGCATCTTCGGGAATGTAAGTTTCTGTTAAGGATTCCCGGATTAAATATTTGTTTAAATCCATTTTGTTGCGTTATCTATCTGGGTCTGAATTGGAAGGGAACTCAGTTCAGGATTAAGAATAGTAAAATCAGTATATTATCTTCATATTGACCTTAGAGTAAGAAAAGTAAAAATCAGTAAATTATCTTCATATTAACTTCAGCTTTAAAGGAAGAAAGGTGAAAAGTTATAAAGTGCTTTGTGTCCTGTTTGCATGGAATGAGGAATTGTGTGTGCTTCTGATCTGACTGCACACAAGCCTTTAATCATGCACAGAGAAAGTCCTCTAGTGGACAAAGGGTGAACCTCGAAGGAAGAGCACCCTGGTGACTGACCCATAAGAAATGACCCCTAGTGGTCAAAGGCTGAACTGCACTGAAGTACCCACGCACACAGGAGAGCGCACCCAGTTGTGCCTCCACCCACAGACAGCACCCCAGTAGCTGATCTGCAAGTAGTGACCCCTAGTGGTCAAAGAGCAAAGTTCATCGAATTTGCTTCAAAATAGCTAGGATGTTTACTGAACCTGTCCTAGCCATGGCAGAGTGTCTCCTAGATTTAGAAGAAGGGGTTCAACCACCAGCCTAGATGAGACACCCCAACCAGTCGGCCAAGGAGAAATGCTGCAAACAGCCAACCTTGACCTGTGCACAGAGGCTGATGCTCAAGCCTCAGTGAGGCCAAAGACGTCCCAGGCTCCCTATGACCTGAGGCAACAAAGAAAACC